TTCTCTCTCTCCGCACAAGTGCCGATTTGTCAGCCACCTGCTCGCCAGATGATGGACCCGCAGCTTGAATATCGTCAAACAAGGGAATAGTGTTGCGATGATAATCCCCGTCGTTGGAGTACATGATGATCATCATTCTGTCTTTGTCCTCCAAAGGCAAGTTTGCAACCTTATATGTCAATTTCCCCTTTGTTTGTTGTTGACGAGTCCATTTCAGAAGATCCAAGTGAATGTCCCACCTCGCGACTCGCCTGAAGAATGTGAACTCACAAGAGCGTGGAACGAAGCATAACAATGTCCATGAACTTCCAGAGCCCATCAAACACTTGTTCAGTCCATGTACCCATCTGGGTTGGGCGGCACAAATCCAGGACGGCTGTGTGGCACGTCAAATGTCTGACGACTCTATACATCTCCTTGCAATCCATCTCGTTTGAAACATTGCTCGGTTCCCATTGGAACGGTGCGAAGACAGATTTCACGCCCTGTTTCTGGAAATGTATATATTTCGCTTGTCCCGATATACGAATGCTTTGTGAACCCCCGGTTTCAGATCTGCGCAACAACTTATTGACAAATTGAATGAACTCTTCGGGGCATTTGTCTGCAAGCAATTTTGTTTTCTTGAAGCCCTCTTCTCCTTTTTCGTCCTCTCCTCCAAGTGTAGCCGGAAATGACCGCACCCAGCTCATATCTTTGAAATGCTGTCGCTGGTCGATCCACCTCTCAGATGTCAATCCTTGATCACGATACTTAGCGAACACATCAGAATGGTTCCTTCCACTCTGACGGCTTCTTGTGAAGGTCAGAAATGAAGACAAAGTAGTGAAACATTCTCAACATTGCTATTTCCAGCTTCACCATTTCCACGAGAATGTCTCCCACCAGTGTGAGCAACTTTACTTAGCTTTGGAGTCAGTATGACACTGCCCGGGAGAATGTCTTGCAACAGTTGAAGCCGCTCACACCTCCCCAACGTAGACATAACCTTTTATGATCTGACGTTCGGATCGTGCACAGCCACGAGGCAACCAGGTCCTTTAGTACCCTGAATTCAATGCATTGGAACCCTGACTCCATTTTTCAACTCGAATCCGGGTCCAGGTCTCGGGGCTTTCCCCGATTCACCTTCTTTGGTGGCAGGCTTCACAGCATCTCTCCCCGACAACTGTCCACTTTCCCAAGCAGAATACACTCATCGCACCTTGTTGAAGACTTATTCTGTCGCCCTTGCCAATACCATGTAAGGCCCGAGGAAGTCGGACCACTCCTTGGTCCATTGCTTAAGCGACATAGTAACCAAATGATCAATCTCGGTCGAGCGTAGAGCCAACTCCGCAAACTCTCTGTACTCCACATTTTTGACGCCTGCAGCAGATCTGCCTATAGCTTCAGGACGACCGGCTGCCAGCCACAACTTTCGTATGTCCTGAATGACAGCAATCTGGTGTGGAGGAGTATTTCATTTGTCCTTCGCATTTTGGAAAGTGCTCAAGGTGTCGTAATTCTCCATCCTCCTATCCGGATAGTAAACAGGCCTTGCAGTCCAGGAATCGAAACGGAGCTCACGGGCGATGTCAGGGCGCTCTTGAAAACATTTCCTTGCCACCGCAACATTATGTTGACCACTGAGAGGGTACCAATAGTACTTGCGCATGGATTGGAGATCGAATTCGTCGGGCGTCTCTCTTCCTGCTCTCACATTTGTTCCGGAAGCGTCAGTATGCATTGTATCATGCAGCCCAACCAATAAAAGGATAGGCTTCTCATATAACGTACATACATTCACCCCGGCTGCTCTGGTCGTTCTCTCTCTGATAGATGCCTCACCCGATTTAACCATTGCGTCGTAAATTTCGTCAACATGTTGCTGACCGAGAAAGCGTTGATTATATCTGAACTCCTCATCTGGGATATCCAGAATCCTGTCAAACTTGACATAAATGAACTGCATGTCCGGCCTCTGGTTACCATTCTCGTTGAACTCAAGGAAGAAGCCTTTGCCCAGATGACCAGAAGAGTTACCAGGCGGCAAAATCTGCAAATTGGGCGGTCTGGTGACTGTCTTGCCCACAGCGTCTTTATCTGACTGTGGGTGGTCCGCTGAGAAAACAGAAGTTTTTTCCATAACACCTCCCTTCGCTACTTTTTTTCTTGGCTGGCGTTTTTTTTTCATGGCCTCCTCAGCCTCCCTCGTACGCTGCACTGCCTCATCCATTGGCAGCAGTTTCAACTTGCGTTTGTGACCCCCCTCCTGCTTGGTTCTCTTATTGTCCAAAGCACTTCTCCTCCCTTGCCTGATCTTCCTCTTCTTCTCAGCCAACCGTGCTGCATCGGCATGTGTCGTCACGACCGTCATTTCGTGGTGCATTCCCCCGCGCCCTCGATCCTCATCCCAATGTCCATGTCGTGGCGGGAGTTGTTGTTTTCGTTCGCGACCCCGATGCACATCTGCATACCCTCCCTCGCTGGTCGTTTCCTCTTCTTGCCCTTCATCCTCATATTCAATCCCTCGCCCACCCTCTAATTCGCCACCCCTCTCGCTGATTGTTTGCTCACTCTCTACTTCTGGTTCTTCCCCACGCTCTCCTCTGTCATCGCCACCCTCCTCATATTCTTCGCGTTCTTCATCGCACTCCGAATCTTCCTCGCTGTTCTCCTCGTCGTCGTCTCCAAAATATTGCGGCCGGCTTGGAATGTCGAAATCATAACGTTGTGGGTGGACCAAGGAAAAAGGTTCCTTGGTTGATGTTGTTCTGGACTTCACAGGGCCTGACGGCACGATTTGGCCGTGACACGGACCTTTCTCCCCGATCTGCTCAGATTTCGAAACTGGCGTTGCAGCAACCGGGAGTCCGAAGGGATTGCGGAGGGCGGACACCTATAGTGAGTGGTCTCAACGATGGAGCCGCCTCCAAGGAAGACAAAAGCATGCTTTTCGGCTCAGATATGCGGTCGTCAGGATGCGCCATCGACTCCTGCCCTACGACCACATTACTATCGAAGAATGCGAGAACCGATGGAAGGTCCGACAACTTCAATTTCTTCGTCCCCGACGGATTGAAAATATCATAAAGCGTCTTGCCCTACCCAGCGTGTTTGGCCCAACGAAGAGCAAGGCGTTTGACATTTGCCGTCCGGTCACCTTTAGCGTTAAGGACCCTCGTCAACTCCGACATGGCCAACGGTGAACCTCGTCCACTCCATTTCACCACACCGCAAATCGGCACAATGTTATCTTTGATCACCACGTAAAGAACCAGTCCACTCGAGGGTTCCCCGATTCCACCCACCCAGTCCAACATCCAACACTTGTCTTTGTGGTCGACGACGGGCACCTTGTCTCCCATACCTGCCACGGACATTTCACCAAACCTTTTACGCCTGGGCACAACGTCTATCGCAGATTTCCCCTGCCGACCACCAGTCACCCCCTCCTGACCCGCAGCCCCGCCACTCATCAACACATCGACATCCTGTCCAGAACCGTGAACACGAGTGGAAGAAGTGCCCGTAGAAGGTGCACCCCGCAGCACCGGGGTTCGTTGGCCCTTAGACCTTGGTGTCTCATCAGTCCCCACACCAGCGGTCGGTGTCCCCTTCGTTTTTTTCGGAGATTGCTCCATGCTCCCGGAACTTCTACTAGCACGTCGTTTGCTTGGCTTCCCCTCGCGATCCGTCTCGAGCGGCTAGTCGCAGCTGAAAGAAAACGCACAAGTGCGAACGCAGTCATTGCCTTGCCGATGCGCAAACACCTTAGGAATCGAAAACAACAATAGACAAGAACATGCAACAACAGAAGCGGGACACTAGACGACCATCGTGTCGAACTCGACGAAAAGAGTCGGGCACGAGGACAATAGCGGGGCAATATAGCGCGACGACCGAAATGTCCCTTCAACTCGTCGTCGTGTCTGACTCGACGGAAGGAAGCGCACGTCATGAGGTCGCCGAAAGACACACGCACTGTCCGACGACTATCGTATTGAACACGACAAGCAGCGGACGGCAGATCACAGTGTCGCTGTCGTGTCGAACTCGACGGTTGGAAGCGGACGTCATGACACGATCGTCGAGCCAGACACAACAAACAGCGTCGCGGATGAACGACGTGCACAGTCCTCAAACTCGTCGTCGTTTCCGACTTAACAGCCGGAAGCGGACGTCATGACACGGTCGTCGAGTAATCGAACACGAGAACAGATGACGAGAGATGTTCGTGGGAGAACAACCCGCACGATCGAGTCGGACACGGCGACGAATGCTGGTCGACATCGCGTGAGCACGACACTACCCCTTCAACTCGTGGTTGTGTCCGTCTCGACGGTCGCAAGTGTAGTTCCCCAGCGCCCACAATATGAGAACAAAAAGCAGATACTGGGTATTTTTCGCAAGAAATCAAAACATAAGAACAACAAGTTTTTTCACAAGGAAACACAACACGAGAACAACATTCAGACACTTTGTACTTTTTTTTCGCAAGGAAACACAACACGAGAACAACATTCAGACGCTTTGTACTTTTAGCACAATGCGAAGTCCATGTAGATGTAGTTCGAAGAAATGGAAAGGCAGCGACGTGTCATTATGGAACGCTCAACCAAAAAAACAGAACAACAATCAGACACTCCTTAACGGTTTGTTGCTCGTTCATGTGTCGTCCTTCCCGGATTTCGAGATATCGAAAAACAAGATTAGGACAACAATGGCACACCGCGTATTTTTTCGCGACAAAACACAACATGAGAACAACAACCAGATACTGCATATTTTTCTCAAGAAAACACAACATGAGAACACCAATCGGACCCCTCGTACTTTTCGCTCAATGCGAAGTCCATGAAAATGTAGCCTGAACAAACGGAAAGGCAGCGATTTGTCATTGTTGAACGCACAACAAAAATAAAAAAACTCCCAATACGGTCTCAACACATCAAGAAACACAGCGCCGGAAGCGCTGAACGAACTTGCGAAAGTATCACATGTAGGAAAATATTGAACGACAAAGGGGACCGACGAAGGCCATCTATCGACTATCGCGAACTCTCCCGCTGTTGCGGCCATTCAATATGCGAAGTGTCGATCCGAAGGTCAGCCGCTGCGGCTCGTCGACGGTAGAGTTCTCAGCAAACACAGAAATGTATGGCATGCGCACAAACCTGGAGTTTCCGACGAGAGAACCGCCTATGGCATCCCGAATAGAAACGACTTTAGTCTCGACCTCGCGCCAAGCGCCGACGTCCTCTACGTTGCCACTGACCACGATATCCAGTTTCCCATCGACCACTCTGTGAACTAAACTCATGTCCCTTCCGGACATAGACAACTCGTTCTTGGACACATACACGACAGCGTCTGTCAAGTTGCGCGCCCTGTCCGAACAGGCAATGCAGAGGACCCTACAAGAGATGAAGCATCCCAGGCGTAATCTCACACAACAATATGACACTGGTCGAGGCGACAGACCCGGATATCGCAATGGATACTGATCGAGGAACCGCGAATGTCGCGCACAATCGAGCAACTCCTGCTTCATAACGCGGCACCATGTGCGCGGCGACGTTGTCACGTACTTGCAATCTAAAACACTGAAAAGGTGGCTAAATTTCAACTTCGTACACAAATGACGCAAACGCACGGAACCGAACACATCGGACGACACGACAATATGTTTTCTGAATTCCAACATATTGGGGAACTCATAATCGTCCGCCCACGGGTACTTCTTCGTCATGTTCTCCCACTCATAGTCCTCCCAAGAGTCCAAATGTTTGTCGAAAAACGGGACGACTGTCATCCAAGGATCAGACTCGAAGTCTTCGAGACTAGCGCCATCAAAGGTTGTGCTGCCCAGACATCGTCAGACGTGTAGTGCGCAAGGTGGGAAAGGGTGTGCCTTTCGTGCACGCCAAAGTTCCAGGGTCATCCAATGAGACATCTCCATAGCGACAGTGAAGCGCTCTGCACGGCATAAGTGCAACGATCAAGAACAGCATAGAACAATTGTCCTCGCCCCAACAATGCAAACAATCCAGGCCGCATGGCATTGTACTGCACACAATCTATGCGCACAATCCATGCACACAATCCATGCACATAATCCACGCACACAATCTATGCACACAATCTACACACACGATCGTGTTCGACTCGACGAGAGGGCACGACAGTGTTCGACTCGACGACAGGGCACGATCCTATTGGACTCGACGACAGGGCACGATCGTGTTCGACCCGACGGTCTTGTCAGACTCGATCGTGTTTGACTCGACGATCGTGTAGGACTCGATCGTGTTTGACTCGACAATCGTGTCTGACTTAATTGTGTTCGACTCAACAATCGTGTCGGACTCGATCGTGTTAGACTCGACGATCGTGTCGAACTCGATCGTGTTCGACTCGACGATCGTATCGGACTCGATCGTGTTCGACTCGACGATCGTGTCGGACTCGATCGTGTTCGACTCGACGATCGTGTCAGAGTCGATAGTGTTCGACTCGGCGATCGTGTCGGACTCGATCGTGTTCGACTCGACGATCGTGCCGGACTCGATCGTGTTCGACTCGACAATCGTGTTGGACTCGATCGTGTTCGACTCGACAATCATGTCGGCACGATCGTCGAGTCCGACAAGATCGTCGAGTCGAACACGATCGAGTCCTACACGATTGTCGAGTCGAACACGATCGAGTCCGGAACGATCGTCGAGTCGAACACGATCGAGTCCGACACCATCGTCGAGTCGAACACGATCGAGTCCGACACGATCGTCGAATTGAACACGATCGAGTCCGACACGATCGTCGAGTCGAACACTATGGAGTCCGACATGACCGTCGAGTCGAACACGATCGTGCCTTGTCGTCGAGTCAAATACGATCGTGCCGGACTCGACGGTCGTGTCGTACTCGACGGTCGTGTCGGACTCGACGCACGACAATTCACTCGGGCTCAAGTTCGATTCGACGACCGGCCAGATCGTCGTCAGGGCACCATCGTGTTCGACTCGACGTGGCAGGGACAATCGTGTTCGACTTAACGTGGCTGGGACAATCATGTTCGACTAGAGAAAAGGGCATGATCGTGTTGGACTCGACAATCGTGTCGGACTCGACGGTCGTGTTCGGCACGAAAATTCGCTCGATCTTCGAGTTCGATTCAACGACCGGGCAGATCGCCATGTCCAAGACGACTCCTGCTCCGGTCCGCCGTCGTGTTCGACTCGACGGTGCTCCTCCTGTCATCGTGTTCGGCACGACCGCTATCAACCGAAAGTGCCACGTGACGTTACGTAGTTACATCTGGGCTTGTTGGTTGTGTCCTCATCATCTGATCCTGCGGACTCGGGGTGCTCCGTTGTGGCTGCGCGTCACGTTCCGAGGTCGTCTGCTCGCCTCTGTCGTCGCGACCTGCGGCCGTCGGCACCTTCGCTGTGGTCCGCCGTCGCGTCCCGCAGGTGGTCTGCTGTGCACGGACCTCCGATGTGTCGAAGAATCCCTGCGCTCTGTCGCCTCAACGTGCACGTAGTCTGCTGTGCACGAGCCTCCGCTATGCTGAGCTATTGCTGCGTCAACAGACCTCCGCTGTGCGGTGTTCTTGCTGCGTTGCCCACCCGAAACCGAACGAAACCGAAAATGGGAACTGGTGGGCCCCCTCCATATATATAGGTTTTCGGGTGGGCCCTCCGGACGCGCCTGGTGGCCGTCCGATCCGGGAATGCTGACGGTCGGGATGAGCGGCTGGCTGCAGGCGGGGATCCGGTGGTGCGGCCAGTGGACCACCCCATTTTCCCCCCGGTGAATCTTGGTCGTCGAACGGTCGGCCGGCCATCGACCACGATCGTTTTCCCCCCCCTAGGCAAAGCGAAGGCGCAGGGATGAAGTTTCACGCCAGAGTACAATGTCATCCCTCTGCCGCACAAGAGCGTTTCCCGCACATAAGTAGCCGCGACCTTTTGTCTGCGCTCCGTTGTTCACGTTCTGGGAGAATCAGCGCAGCAGTCCGCCAACGTTAACACGACAATTGGCCCGC